CCCCCCCCCCCCCAAAAAAATCATTTAAAACCTCTACTAATCACCTCTCCACATAATTAACAGCACGATTAACCTTAAATTCCACATTCGTTACTTACAATATCGCCAAACCGATAAGTTACTCCTCGCCATTTTCACGACACATCCGGCAGGTGCTGATCGATCCTTCCCCACTTGCACTCCTACTTCGAAGATTAACGATCGAAAGGTACTATTAGACCGTGAATCATTATCGCGAGATCACTGTAATATCTATATCGGAATACGAAAATTCGCGATCGGGCCCGGGAAAAGCGATATTTGCACCGGTGGTCCGGTTTTATCCGACGTTCCGTGGCTGAACACAGGGACTGAGACACGAGGCAGTGCCCACTCGGGTTCAAACCCGGGAGGAAGACACGGCCAGCGGGTGTTCGGTGTCGGCGACGAGGTCAGGTTTTAAGGTAGAACCGGAGCCAGCCTTTGTGAGAGAGCTGGACGAATTAAATCGCGTAGTGCTCTTACATCATCGGAAGAATCGATACGGATTCATCTCGAAACGGAGCCGAACGTGCTCTGCAAGTTTAGCAGTTTTGGCGACTGCGGAGGAACATTCGCGGTTGGTCAAGACATCGATGGAAATTTTTTAGTACTCTTGGTAAATGGAGAACGAAGGTCAACCCCTTACCCTACGATTTAAGTTCCGATGGAGCGTGCCACAGTCGACAGCAACGTTCGTCACACGTCGTGCCATTTCGTCAAACATTTGCGAAAATTAACCACGAATCTGGCCCGTGATGTTTACGTTGGGCCTTATTCAGGAACCACGACTCTTACACGTGATACTCGTGTTTGGCCCGATACTTCTTCACGAGTCTCGCACGATATTGTAGGCGAAGGGGTTAAGTGAGTTTGATATGGTATATCGGTTTATGGAAAATTATTATCGTTATTGATTGTGATTTTATAGGAAGAAGAAGAGTTGCTTTGATGAATGACAAGGGATGAGACTGGAAAATTTTTAAATGGGTTTTGATAAAGATCAGTTTGATATTGTTGGTTTACAGGAAATTATATTCATTATCGATCGCAGATTTAAAAATATAGAAAATGATTTTATAATTAATTTACAGAAAATTATTCTCGTTGTTGATTATAAATTTATATATATGGATTGTAATTTTAAATTGAGAAGTTAGCCATTTTGATAAGTTTAGAAGTTTAATATTAAAATGAAAAGTAGTTATTAATAATCTACAATTTCTTCATTTTTACAATTACTTAAAATTCTTCAAATATTCCTATTATGTCTCGAACCACAAAAATAGAAATTACAATAAAATTCCTCCAGTAGATATCTATATTGCCACATCAAAAAACACGAAATAGATACATTAACACTACAACTACCGACCTGTAATATGTACCCAAATCTACCTAAAAATGAACACATATAATTAAAGTGATATATCGATAATAAATGGACATATACAATATAATTATACTTCTATCTCAATGAACGTATGCAGTCGGTGTTTCTTTTTTTTAGCAAAACACATACAGTGAGTAATGACCAAATCATTTCTCTAGTACGAAGTGCTAAAATTAGCTATAAAGACAAAAAATCTGAAACTAATCATTTTAACTGATATTAAAATAAGGTAAAAGAATAAAAATAAAAATAAAAATTATCTATCGAATGTAAGAATCGTTAACTGACAAAATAAATAGCAAATATATATTACGCGCTTAATATTGTATTAGCCTACTATCTCGTAATAAGATTTTTCTGAAGGAGCGATGAAAGGAATCTAAGCGATACGAAAGAAAACTGAATGACACACGAGACGAGCTATGGAAACTTACATATATGATGTTATTGCATATATCCTATATCGTTACATAAGTGGCCGGTCACGAATTGTAATTATCAGCCGGCTTGTGCGAACTTTCTCTGTACGGTTTTTATCAGAATGAGCACGGCCTTAGTCCCGTTCTCAGCTAATAAATTCGAGACGCGTTATTCGCGTATTTTATATCCATACGTGGAACATGACTCTACAAGCGATTTATGTAATTATTTTGAATAAATTGAATTCTGACGTAAGAACATTTAACGCGAGGTACCATGTGGTTGAGAATATAGATTAAAAGAAAAATGAGAAAACTATGTGTAATGTTAATGTTTATTTTTATTCAACAGAGATTATCTAACTAAAAATTTATTTTTATCCCATAAAAAGTCATTATTAGAAAAAGAAACTATGAGAATTAAATAATTAATTTTACTCCTTAGAGATTATGAGAAAATTGGACATTTATGTTTAAATAGTCAGCTGTTCATGATGTATTTTACAAATTATTCTCTCGATATAAGAGAATGTAATAAATTAGCAGAAGTTACAATATTGTTCGGATAATTTAATGGTTCAGATATTACGCAAGTGAGATTGCTATAAAGAACAATTGATCATTTACTAAATGTACAATATTTGATTTACTTTCTCTTCGTAACGATCAAGAAATTTATCTTTGTAACTATACTCGATAAACTGGCAGTCTGATTTGATTTTCTTTGAAGATATGTAATACCTATTTCTGTTATAAAACATATTTAAAATATATGTACATTTAAATATTCTCAGGTATTTAAATATCTCTCAGAATACTACTATTATTTTATTTTTCTCTGCACATCCAGTGATCAATTTTCATTAAAAATTCCTATTCTAGCATTCTAATAATAATTCCAATATTATATTTTAAATGTAATAAATACTAATAAATAAATATATACTAATAATACTAATAATACTACTACCACTAATAATACTAATAATACTAATAAATAATAATAAATGCTAATATAATAAATAAATAAATATTTTAAACATCGTCCTGCAAAATATAATGAATACTATAAATATCGTACACATTCTAAGTTTTCCAAGTACGATAATAATTCTTCCATATTTACAAAACGTCTTATAACTTTAATAAATCTATTTGTTCAGCTTTCTATTAACTTTTCTGAGAGATTTACTGATGTTTTATCATAAGAGATATACGTCACGTATAATTTACAACGTGAATTGTAACTAGACAAAAGGATAGAAAAAGATAAACAATTTAACGACTTACCTTTCCAGGTGTGGGTGAGGCCGATGTTGAGTTTAACCCCTGCTGTAGATGATACATTTTCGGGGTGAGCATAGATGGAGGTGCACCGAGGCTACCCGGGGCGACAGCCACGCTCGTCATGGTCATTTCCGACGATGGACGCAGTCCTCGGCTTCTTCGAAGCACCTGTCCGCGACCTTCTGCGATCTTCGTAATTGTTCATCCTCGTACCGTGACCACTGGAACATAAATACGCATAATGTGAGTCAAATCTTCCTTTATTCTCGAACTCGACGTCAGCCAAATGGATGGAAGCCGTGAAGGTACATTAAGCGAGTGCAGTCTCGCGGTAAGTAAATATAGAACGGAATAAAAGTAAAGAAAGCGAGTGAGAAACATTTCTTAAACGGGAATATTAAAATAAAAATATTGCAATGACTATGAGAAATTAAAATAGCATATTTCAAGTACTTCAGTACACTTTTTAATAGCGTAGATATTATATTTATTTTTATTTCAGTTAGAATATTAGAATTAAAATTAGAAAATCAAAATAGTAAAATTTAAATTTACAAAATTAAAAATAGTCTTATCTATAGTACTCGACGTGATAGATATTTATAAAATGCTTTGCAAATATCTCAATTTACCATTTAATACTGTCGATATTATTTATATTAATTAAAATTGAAATATTAGAATAAAAATAAAAAAATTTGAAATAACCTCGATTAATTCTGCATGTTAAAGTCTTATAAAATACATCATAAGTCGATTCTCTAATCCTGTAGATATTACGTGAGAAACTACATTTATTCGGTATTATTATATCACGTCAAAGTTATGGTGTAATAACTGTTCGGTGTATTAGAAGCATAATAAGTTATTATTCATCGTGTTTCTTTCAAGCCACGTTTTAGCACGTTTAAATTGAACGGAACAGGATAGAAGCTAAAAAGAAAAGATAAGAAATTTTCATTGTAGTAATTTATGTAATTCGACCGATTTCATTGTAAGAATAATTATATAAGCACTTTCGTGCTCTTTCATATTCATTTAAAATATCTTCGTTATTGTATTATTAATCCAAAGGGGAACACGAGAGAAGGAGAAAGTGAAATGTAAAATAATTTTCCTCGCAAATGTCTTTTTCCCACCTTACAATCGTCATGGGTACGGGGCGTTATGGGAATACCGCGGTGAATTTTAATATCGCAGGTACAATTTGCAATTAACAGATATGTTGGTAACGAAAGGTTTTCATCTTTCATTCAAGTACAAAGCGGCGTAAATACGAGGGAAATACGTGCAATTATCTTACGAATGGATGAAAAGCGACGTGTAAAACACCATAAGGCCGTTACATTTTTTCTTTTCTCCTTTTCCATGTAACGAAGTGCCGGTGTAAATACAATGGAAACGACGATTGTAATCTCGCAATCAGCAATCCACTAGAAAATTTTAATTAGAAACGAGCTTACCTTCGTCTTTTCATTTGCTTATGTTACGAAGCAATTTATAACGCCAAAGTGTGAAACGCATAGGGCATTATTGCCTACGTTCTACGGATATCGCAATTCAAATTGCTTCTTAGTTTTATGTGTTTCGACATACCTTATTTTTATACACGGAAACGTTGCATTCATGTTTCTTGTATGTACATATTTCTCACCGAACTGTAAAATGATTGTAAACTAAACGATAACGGAACCGATTGCAAAATAAATGTAAGATATTTGTAAATTATTTGAATTGTAAAATAAATGATAAAATAGATAAAGTAGAATAAAATAGAAAACGATGAATCAGGTAATATAGGATAAATTATTAAGTAATATAAATGTAAATAAATGAGAAATATATGGTATTGTAAATATAAATAAATAAATAATACGTATTAAAATAGAATACTTCTTATTTTTATATCACTTATACTTCATCACATATATTCGTCTTATATCATTTGTATTATTTTTATATTATAGCGTGAGAGAATTTAGTGATAAGCGATTTCTATGTTTTGGTCGTTTCGTAATTACAGAAATTAGTATAAAGAAAATTCAAAATTTCGAAGCTCCGAATTTTCGTACTAACAAATTTCTACAGCTTTAAATTTTTAATTGGCCAAATTTCAAAACATCTAAGTCCCCAAATTTGTAAGTTTCTAAACTTTGAGTTCTCAAACTTACAAATTTTTAGGTTTCTAAATCATTAAACTCCAAAACTTCCAGATTTCTAAATTTTGGAACTTCCAACTAAAGTTTCTAAATTTTCAAAATTCCTATACCTTCGAGTTCTGAAATTTCCAAATTTTTATATTTCCGAACTTCGAATCTTCGAATTCCAAAGTTTCCAAATTTAAAAATTCTCAAACTTCGAATCTTCGAATTCCCAAACCTTTGAATTCCCAGGTTTCAACTTCCCAAGCCTCGAAATTCCTAAGTTCCAAGCAATAAAACGCAAACTCAAGAATTCCTATGTACAGAACACTTCGCGAGACAGATGATATCTGCCGTTTACAGCGATTTCTCTGAAGAAATCTGGGGAAATATTCGACGACGTCGCTACGGCAACGAATGAAGCGCGAAGCTGAAAAGACATCTCTTTTTGCACGCGTTGCCACGGGTATAAAATCACAACGAAATGCCGATTTGTTGAGCAATCATTTCGATCGTATTACGACACCCCACAATGGTACCGTGTAATTTCACTCTCGCCAGGAGATCGCAATTGCACAATTTTCGTCGCGCCAGACGAGACATTCGGGCGGACCTAGAAAGCGTCTAGGAAATGCTAATTTACCGGCGTTACTGGTCTTGCTGTTACGTGTACCAGCCTTCGCGAATATATTTACCAACGCGATGATCTGCAGCCATTCATCGCGGACCTGTTTCGCCGCCATCTCATCGAATCTCATTCCCGACTTTGCTCAAGCACTTGCACGAATACTCAATTTTTATCCGGTTTCTCCATCTTTCGCGTGTATTTTATTCCCGTTTATTCTCAATTTTTCTCAACCATCTAAATCCTCCGTTTTCTCCATCTTTCGCGCTCCTTTTATTACCATGAATTCGCAATCTTTCTCAGCCGTCTAAATTCTCCTTTTTCTCCACTGATGTAAAATTAAAAATTCTTCTAATTAATAGTAATATTAAAGGTGGAGGTAATAATCAAAATCTTATATTATTTATTCGAAGGAGAGATTTCGCGTTTCTTTTATTCCCAATTTTTCTAAACCATCTAAATCCGCCATATTCTTTATTTTCGTGTTTTTTTTGTTCCCAATTCTTCTAAACCTTCTAAATCCGCCATATTCTTCATCTTCGCGTTTCTTTTGTTCCCAATTTTTCTAAACCGTCAAAATCCTCAATTTTCTCCATCTATCGTGTTCCTTTTATTGCTATAAATTCCCAATTTCAAATTCGCGTTGATTCGAGACTCGAGAAGGATTATGAATATGCAGCCGACATACAACAGAAGTCAAATCAGAGTAGTTATTAACATATTTCGTAATTGCATAAGCTGTTTTATCGAGGAAAATCGATGGATCGATTTAGTGAAGCATAGAGTCTTGAAGTCGAATTAAGTAATTGTATTATTTCATAAGCGAATTTGTCGTTGGAGATTATGTCATTAGGGAGGAAACTAATGGAAAAAGAAGAGGGTAAAGAAATCGTGGCACTTAGGGTGGAAGTATTCTTGTAACGATCTTTAAATCGTTTATGTTTTGTCGAGAGTCATCGTGGAATGCAATCGAATGATTTTCTGTTTTATTGTTTCCTTAATATTTCAGTGTCGAATGAATATTATTAAAAAATTAGTTTCCTGTTGGTAAAAATGTAATAAAAAATATTTCATATTATTCTTTCCTTATTTCAGAATATTTATAGGATTATTAAAATAATCAATTTTATTTCATTTCACCGTGTATATCTATAAATAAATAATTTATACAGCTGCATTGAACTTTTAGAAATTTGCTTGGAGAAGAGAATTTATCGTTGAAACACTCGAAAAACTGCAATAAATAACGTTAAACATACTTTAATTACCATATATTTATATTCTTAATAATTATACTCTTACCGTAATCGTGTCGAATTTAACATTAACCATGGCCTAAATCACGGTTTTCAAAACTTTCGTTAAAAATTAAATAACGTTATCGTCTTAATCACTAATCATCGCGGTTTTTCTTCCAATATACGTATATTCATTTTTCAATGCCTTCGATTATTCCATTTTTTAACGTTCTTCTTCTTCATTCGTCGGTCATTTGACCATGATGGCTTCGGTGTTAATAAAAATATTATTCCACTGATTTGCATAAGATCGTAGCTATTAATCTTCTAGACATCGCATTCCTATTATACATAACTGTATTCCTCGATGATACCACTTTGAAAATCTCCTGGGTCCAAATTTTAATTGAAAATGAGAATAAAATGAGAAGAGTAACGATGAAATTATAGTAGGAATGGCGATTGCGAAAAGAGAAAAATCGCGGCTCGAATTCCAAGCATAATAGATCCGGAAAGGGAAGGAAAGAATTTGAAACTCGAACAATGTAGGTTGGCACACCTCTGGTAATGTCACCGGTATAACTATACTCTCGATACTGTTAGCTCGCACGGGTGAGATTCATTATGATGCACCAGCGTGTCGCCGACTGATTTTTATTTAAGAATCATCGTGACACGCATTTCATTCCGTTGATCTCATTGCTGATACCCATTCGCATGGACTTATCTTACTGACCTTCATTTCGTATACATGGAATTTCTGTTTTTTCTTTTTAATAGAAAAATGTTAACTCGACAACTGACTCGGGGACTTATCTTTTATTTCTTGAAGTTGCCTCGTTGCGTTTTAAAAGATCTTTCGAAATTTTTTGCGCTCGATTAAATGGCAAGAATTTACTATATCGTTGCAAAATGATACATACGATCGTTCTTACGAGTGAAATAAAGTTATTCTGGATTGGAAATATTTTTGCAGCTCCATCAATGAAATGTTGTAAGTATAATACACGTGCCAATTATTCTGTTGATTTTTTCGTAAGCAAAGTATTTTTACTCGCTACTTCTTAAAATTATTTTTTAATTTATAGTGAATTTATAATAATAATTAATAAAATTGTAAGACATTGTGGATATTTTTTAAATTTGATAATTTCATTTAGTTTCTTCCGAATGATTTATTATTTCCAAGGGTTATTATTGGTTTATTATACCTGCGT